AAAAAAATATATATATTCATGAATATTTTTTAACTATTACGTATAATACTTTTTCTTCTGTTTAATTTATTAGTTATTGGTTTTAGAAATAATTTAAACATGTAAAAACAACTGTTAATAAATTTGATAGTACCTAGTATATTACATTTAATTTTTTTGTTTTTTTATTTATTTGCTCTATGTATAGGATTGCTAAAAAAAATGTTTGTAAGTCTTACAGACGTTTTTCATGCATACCAAATATATATATATAACAATGTACATTATAAAACACCATAGTATTAAATTCTAAACAGAGCAATGAATATATTTTATATCGAAGCTTTAGGTTAAACGTTTTTACCTTATTTAATTTGTTGACAATATAGCACCTGATCCAACTTATACCAATAATTATCATTGGTATTTCGCTTAGTTATGCTAATTATTATGACAAAAAAATTGAATTAAATAGTAACAATGCTTACAGTAATTTATTAATTGTATAGATAATCACAATAATATTGTATACATTTATTTACAAAAAAAAAAAAAAGAAGATTTAAAACTATTAAAATCAAATCAAAACTATACAGTTCTAATTCAAAAATATATTTTATGGACAAAATTTTAAGATTTTCAATGCACACTGACGAAGCATTTTCTAGATATGCGTCAATAAGTATTATTTTTAGTTGATATATGTGATATTTTTTCCTGTTAAAAAAACTTTATGAAGAAATAATCGTTATTCTCACATGTTTGAAAATTTAAACTTGAAAGAAAAGTTTTCTTGTCTTAAGTTACGCCAAATTTGTAAGTAAATTGCGATTTATTTGACCCTTTATTTCATAATTTTAATGGTGAAAACATTTTAACACCACAATATGATATTTTTTATAATAAAAGAATATTCATTAAAATATGTATTACATGAGTTACGTAAATACTATACGATGATATCTAAACATTGTGTTGTTTTTTTTTTTTATATATATATAATTGATATTTTTATAGCCCAAAATATTTTATTTTTAATATATATGTTACAGTGAAAGTTGAATATTGGTGAATGACGTCTTTTTCCAAAATGATTCGATTTTGTAGGTAAATGATATAAAAAACCAGATTTTAAATTCAAGTGTACATCTTTCACTGGTCATTGATGTCATTTACCAAAACTAGTGGTAAATGATGATAAATCTCAAATAATACACTGATTTTTTTACTATAGGTACTATTTTAATAATGACTTAGTGTTGGTGAATGTTTCATTTTTTATTTTAGGCATTTATTTGAAGGATATAATAGGTTAATTAAAAATATTAAAATACATGCATATTACAAATTATTTATTTGTATAATAATTTTAGTTACCATGACATTTTAAACTGCATAGCAACTCCGCTGCATTTCAAGTACATTTTTTAGTACCACAACTAGTACACAAATGTTTACAAATAATATTAACACACATTTGTAGCAAATACAACTCGCTATAGTATGCCCGTCGATACTACTAATAAACTAAAAGAATCGACGTTATTGCTAGTTGGGATTTTCGTTTATCTATCTACTTCCGTCATGATATTTTTAACTAACGAAGCTTATTCGATGCCTACACGCTTATCACTGATCGTTCACACCGACATAAAATTATTAAATATCATTCTCCAATTAAACTGGTGATTGACGACAATAACCGGGGAATGTTTGTATTTACAACGTTTACCAATTTTTAGGTAAATTATGTCATTTACCGGGGAATGACGTCTTTTACCACGTTTACATCATTCATCGTAACATATATATATTTAATTATAATACAAAAAATAACAATAATTTAAATAAGTGTTTTAGTATTATTATTAAATTCTGATATTCTAATATTTATTTGTTAGAGATACCTATAACTTATAAAAAAGTAATGATGAAAATCAAACGATTTGTTTGTATATACTTGATACCTATGGACCCAACTGGTATCACCAAGGAAATTGTATATCTAAGAGGCTCACAATTATTTTATACTCAATACATACAATTCTATTGAATTAAACTCGTATCAAGTATTAAAACTAAATAGAAAAAAAAACAATTATAAATTAAATTATCTATTACTATTAGTTATATTTAATGATAGAAATTATATTTTACACTTTAATACCATTCATACCGAAAAATAATACAGAACACGGGTGAAACCAAGTAATTCATCTAGTATTTATTAAAATACAAATATATTTATATATATATATATTAATAATAATTATAGTATATGTTAATAAGGATTTTACATTTTACAATAATATTTATTGACGGCGTTCATTGGTTAATAGTTTTATTTTATTTTCCGAGAAAGATTTCTTATAAATGTAAAATTAATGGATATATTACACAAGAATAAAGCTATTTTTTATATTGTTGTCATCAATTGAAAATGTATGTGTCACAATATTTTTTTTAAGTTGATAAGTATAAAAATAAATAAAATGCTTAAGAATATGTAAAATGATAAAGAAGTGCACTTTAAATTTAAAAAAAAAAAAAATACAGAAATATACACATTATAATGGAAAAAAAAAAAAGTTAAAAAATGATGAAAAATATAATATTATTATAACTTTAAAGTATACTTCATGGACTATGGACAATAACATTTATAATTTTTTAATGCTCTATACTATAATCTCAACATTATGTTGATTGTATAATAAATTCAAACACTGTATATATTTTTTGGTAAACTTATTATATTTTTAAAATATTAAATGATTTTAATTTTATTTTAATTTAAAAAAAAGCCATTATCCATAAAATAATAAGAATACAAAGGAGTTTAATATGATAATATCATCTATAAGAACCGTTCTCTTATTAATTTTTGTTTAATTACGGGTTAATTAAATTTTTATTTATCAAATTGACTTTATTTGTCTGTTATCTCTTAAGTTTGTGCGTGTTATATTGTGTTAATGTGTTTATTAATGTTTTTTTTTTTTTTTTTTTTTATGTAATGTTTCATTGTAGGTGCTTACATTTCAAACGGTGACACTAAAGAAGTACGTTTTCAACTTCTAGATAAATTAATATCTGTAGATAATTAGATAGAATAAAACCTATTGAGTTTGTTTTAAATGACTTCTTAAAAACAAAAAAAAATAAAAATAAAGTTATTGGTTTCCCAATATATACTTTAATTTTATTTTTTACGCGTTAGTGTCTAATTTAATTGATAAACATCACATCTAGATTGAAAAATATGTAAAGTATAATTAAGCACTCCGTTTGATGAATAAATATATCAAAACATATTAAAATCGGATCATAAATCATGAAATGAGAATAAAATTGAATTTTTCGGTGTTCTGCGTACATTTTATTACCGTACCGTACGTTATTTATATTATAATTACGGTGTTATAATTGTATAGCTCGTGTGATCTACTCTTACCCGTCAAACGCGAGCGCTGCGCTATTCGCATACACCTATAATATCATACGGTCTACTGGTATACCTTTGCGGTGGACGTGGCGACGACGGTATATTTCAATAAACCCATTTGAAAACTAAGGTTAGTATAAATTATTTACCAAGTTTCCTGGACGTGCACAATTCTCTCGCGCGCATACACACACACACACACACACACACACACTTTTATTATCCTACCCGTGCAGTGTTTGCCACGGGAAACACAAACTAGCTATTACATCGCGTTTCCATTATCCGAATTTTTCGGGTTATTTCCTCTTGCACCGCCGTCCGAACGCTGTGTACAACAATATAGCCGTGCGTATACACACAATATATAATAATAATAATAATAATATAACGATGACGTGTAACATAAAAATGACGTTAAATTTCGTTCAGAATACAGGTACCCCGCAAGCGTTTTCCTGGTCGGCCACTGTATTATATTATATCGTTCTTACGAGGTCCTCGTGTTATTATTCATGTATATGCAGCGAGTTGTCTATTAACAATGCCTAAATTATGGTTATCAATAGTATCTATTAGTGTTTTATAATTTTTGAAAATTAACCGAGTATAATTTAAGTGTATAATATTAAACTAAATATTGTTCATGCATTTTATTTTTACAAGTAACCAAAGTCCATCTTGTAGGTATATCTTCTAAACTAATTGATAATTTATTAACTATTGCCACGAAACGTATAGTTTTATAATTCAAATAGTTATTCGTTAACATTTTTATTAATTTATTTAGATCATCATTTAAAAAATAAAACTTTGTATTGCTTAAATGGAATTAAAAAGCAGATTTTAAAATATGGCGATTGAGTAGGCATATATTATGCTTCCTTAAAAATTCCAAAAGTATTATTGAACAAGTAAATGATTTAAGAATAAATCGCATTACGTGAATGTTTGACGAATCCCTCTGTGTTTGGTATGTACGTATACACGCGCGAAAACGGAAAAAAAAAATAAAGTTGAAAAAACACCACACACAAAAACAAAGACGACACGCAATTGAAAGAAACGAAATTAATAAGTGCGTTGGTACAGTTGAAGAAATAAAGACGAATTTCCGAGAAAAAGACAGAGAGTGAGAGTGAGAGAAAGAGTAAAACAGAAAGAGAGAAAGAGAGAGAGAGAGAGAGAGAGAGAGAGTGATGGACCAATATATAATAATAATAATAATAATAATAACAATAATAATAGTGTGAAAGAAAACCAAGGAGAAGTAGAGGAAAGGAGAGAGAGGGACATAGGGAAAGAAAGAGATAGAGTGAGATCGTGTGAGATGGGTGGGGGAGGGGTGGGAGTAAGAAAGAGATACAGCGAGTGAGTGTGCGAGAGAGTGACGGGTTGGCGTAGCCAAGAGCGGACGAGGATAAACGGCGAAAAACCGCGGAAGCACGGTCTAATTTTCTGCGCAAGTTCGTCGCGCCAACGTACCCGCCGGGGGTGCGAGAGATCGTGGCGACGGGGGTGGCAGCCGCGTTTTTCGACGACGACCGTGTGTGCGTGTCAGACTCCGTCGTGGTAAGCCGGTGCGCACGGTCCGGTTCGGTGTGTTCATGTATGCGTGTGTGCGCGTGTGTGTGTGAGCAAGTACGTTTTTTTGGCATTTTTTTTTTTTTTTTGTTCGTTAATCGTTCCGTTTTTATCTATTTTATTTTTTTGGCGTTCGGCGTCGACCGGCCGATAAATTTTACGGCACGGCACAGTCGTGTAAGTTTACCCCCTGTAAAATAATTACCTATTTATACGTCTTCGGGTTCGCGTTCATTCAAACTGTCTCCGGCCAATATCCGCGGCCGTGTCCGCGTGTGGTTTCAAATTAAATAATTGAATAAATAAAACGTAAAACGTCCGAAACGGTTTCGTCCTCCGAACGAGTCGAAGATGATCCACAACGACTCGTGTCGTCGGTGGTATGGAGACAATATTGCCGCATCAATCCGTGGACCGTTTGACTGTTTAAAATTCGTTTAGATACAGTGGTGGATTCGTGTGTGTGATTCACCACCGCACGGCAAAGGCATCAGTTGCGTATTACGCAGCGGGTGAAATTTAAAAAATAAAAAAAAAAACACTGCTCGCGATATCGACAAAACTGCAGTATTTACCAAACACCTCTGTCGAAGTGTCGACACGTCGTTTCGTTTCGGGGATTCTGTTCGGGGCAAAACGATGATAGTAAACATGTGTAACAAAACATTGATCGGATGGCTGATCGTCGGTGGAGCTATTCTGTTAATGCTGGCCACGGGTAAGAAAAAATACCAATAATATAAATAATGATATCAACGTAGTGTCGCTCGCGAATCGATGACCGTATAAAGTAAACGAATTATAAACGCCTCTACAGAGTTACGTAGACACGGAAAAGTGTAAATTTATTATACTGTGTAATATTAAAATAGAGTGATTTTTGAATAAAATATACACAAAAACGCGCAAACGTAGTAGCATTGCAATAATTAACAATATTATTATGTGTGTTTGAAATCAGTGTTATTTTAACATAAAATAATAATAGATGACATTTATCATTTTTAATGTTTGAAACACTGTATTGGATAATATTATGAAAGCCATTGTGACCAAAGCATCCTACATTTTAAGTTAAAAATATTATATCGTATTTTAATGTTCAGATTTATTTGATAAATAAATAAAATATTAAACATATCAAATAATTAACTAATACTCATTACTTCAATGATCGCTACTTAAAAAATAAAAATATACGAACAATAAAATATTATATCTGAATTTCTCTTGGCCTAAAACGAATGTATTACTTGCTCACCTATATTTCGTCTACACGTAATAGATGCTGTCAAATAGGTGATAAGTCCAACTCTGCCTTTATTATTTACTTTAAATATATCAATAATTTATAATATACGTCATATAAATTTGTACAGATTAAATTAAGATTTATAAAAACATAAATAATTCTATTGCTAAGTATTTATTAATAATAGTTTTTATTGATATCAACGATACTCACTCAATCGACTTTACAAACTAAAACACACACATTTATAAAACATATCATTACATTACACGATCTATAAAATAAATGGTAGATTTAGATTGAAATAATTAATTATATTAGTGTCCGTATTATGATAGAAAAGTTATTACGATCAATTAAAAGTGTAGAATAGAGTTTTTCTGTAAATAAAGATGAATCAACATTATACAAATTACCTTTAATATATTATTGTTCAATTTTTAATACTTTCATTAATCATAGCATAAAAGTACAAATATAATATAGTCACGTAATAGTAATATAGTATATACTAAGAAATATCTTAATTTATCGCAGGTAGATAATTATAGGTAAGTTTATGTTAATTATTAACACATGCAAATTAAATTAAATATTTTAAAAATCAATATTCATTGAATAAACTACGACTCACGACCCGTTTAATATCTGTACATTTATAACTACTAAATCGCTTATCTTACTGAATACCATATTTCCAATGAATTATGTTATAATTTATTATCTCAACAAAAGCTATAGACAAGATACAAAGACTATGTTAGACAATCATCTCATTTCAACCATTTAGACGAAAGCCAGTTATTTGTTATCACTATAAACTATAAAGTTAAAAGCAATGATAAATAATTATTATTTGAAAATAAAACTTACTTATATATAGAATAAAGTAATTCATTTTTAAAAGTAACTTTTGAAAACTGTAAAACAACAGTTTATTAACTATATAACTTTATCTTAATAAAATTAAATTTAATTTAGTTAAAATCATAATCGTTTTTTTAGTTACGTAGATACAAATAACATAATGTGTAAAGCACAAATAAAACCCAAAAACTTATTTTTTTATTTTATTAGTACAAAACTATTATTAATATGGAACTTTTAATATTATGTATATATTATATTTTAGTAAAGCAAAGTTAGGTCAGGTTTTTACTTTTAACATAAAAATATTATCAATAACACCATGCATATATAATTATCTATGATGGTACATTTATTTTTTATTTTTTAATTTTGGTTATATTCAAATCAAGAAAAAAAGTGATTGCCTTGAAACTTGGATTCGAAATTATAAAATACATATATATATATATATATCATCAAAAAACCACTGATAAATGAAACATTTTTGTGTAGTAATAAACCGTGATAAGTGAATGAGATAACCATAATTGATTAAAATTATACTGTGTCTAATATTAGGAACATTTAATACAAACTGTCTAAAATGGGTTGATTCAGAGAATTTTACTTTTGCCAGATAAAGTTTTTATAATCAGATGGATAAAGTTTAAAGAAGTTAGCAAGGTAAATGAAATCCTTTTTTGATAATTTGTTCATATTTTTTGAAACTTATATAATTAAGTTTGAAACGTCTAAAAAATGTATACAACATTATTAGTTTATGTACAAAAAAAAAAAAAAATAATAACTTTAACGATTTAAATACATTTTTTTTATCATTATCTATAGTACATTAGACCACTGTACTCATTAATAAAAAATCGCGAGCCACCAATTTCAACAAAGAATTATTTTTTATAAAATATGTATGTAATACAATTTAATGTTTTGAAAAGGAAAAATAGGAAAAAAATAGCTTATATTTATAATATTTAAATAACACAATACATAATATTATATAAATACTCTATTATAATATACATCGTAAATAATGATGTATTTCTAAAATGTTTAATTTACCTGCTCTAACATCTAATTTAATACATATATAGAATAATGTTAATGCTTAAATAACATTTAAATTTTAGGGTACATAACATTGTAACTTTCCACATTTTTATGTAATTTAATTTTAGGTAAAATTTATATAGGGACAAAGTTCAATAATAATTAAGTTCAATCATATCGAAAAGTTCGAATTCTATTAATATTTTTTGGCTTTAAAAATCAGTTAAAATATAAAATATACATGATGGGTACTGTATATATATTACACTTTTACCATCTAAATATTATGCAATTTAAAATACATTCTTTTTATATAATATTAAATTTTGGTGAATAATTTTTAGCATTTATTTTTGTTTAAGTGTATAATTAAAAAAATAAAATATTATCATTAAGATACATAAATAAAATTATGGCGGAATCATAAAAACTAATAAATTTAAATTTTTATAAATAAATACATAATATACTATTATATTAATACTGTATGATTATACATTATTTTTTACATCTATATTTGTTATTACAAACTGAGCAATAATTAACAATTTTTTTCTCCATTAAATTAAAAATAAATTTGAAATATGAGGCTTCATTGAAGTTAAAAAGTATCGAAAATAGAAGATATTAAGAATGGTTATTGGGTATTTAACAGGTTTTTCTTTTATCTCAGCGTCTCAGCTGGATTAAGATATTAATAGTCAATAGTTATTAATGTAAAATAATTTTAAATATTCAAATTAAATAAACTAAAGTCGGAAAATGGTCCTGATATCCATTTACATTATATCTCAGTTAGCTAGAATAATGTTAAATAGGTATACAGTTATTAAATAGTTTTTTTTTTTAAAAGATTTTTAAAAAATAACTAGAAAGCAGAAATGGCAATGTTATTTATTTAATTATTAAAATACTTCCATGACAATTATTTAGAACTTTTTTTCTTTAAAAACATTATTAATTATTAATTTTGTGATTTATTGAGGAGTTAATTTTTTAATTTATCTTCTATTTAAACATGTAAAACTTACAATAATTTATTTTAAAAATAAATAAATATATTAATTCTATTTGAATTATCGAGAAAAATATTATATATTTAAGGTTTTTAAATTATTTTTAGGTAAATGTAAGTTATATAGTATGTAGTGTGTGGTATGTCTATACTTAAGTACAACAGTGTACCTATTTATTATTATGTTGTACCTACTACAGTTTCTAAAATTATTTAATTAAAAATTTAAATGTATTTTTATATTTGTATGAATTATAGTAAGTAGGTACATACGTTTTGTTGATTTCATAATAATACTAGTACATTATTGTATACATATTTATTTTATAATACACAAATCTTATATATCTATGTAAAGTTAATCGGATAATATTATGTTTAGGAATAATATAAAAAAAAAAAAAAAATACAAAATAATATATTGTAATGAATAAAACTATGAGTATTAAGTATATTCAGTTTAAATATTAAGGGAAATTAGAATGTTAAAACTTCTAGTAGACAACTTACTTTGCAATTAATGAGAATTAATAATTAATAATACAAGTATAGCTATTCGATAAAATGTTATTAAATTTTCTCCATGAAGATATGCATGCATAATAATTTGCTCATTATTTTAAAATACAAATTTCAATAATAATTACAGCTAATAAAACCTTAAAATAATATTTTTTTATTATTTATATGTTAGTAAATAATAATTAAAATAATTAAAATTAGTAATTTAATAGCTGATGATTTAATAATATCTTGTACTATTAGCAAATGCTAGTACTTATTTCTAATAAAATATAACTCATTTAAACAATACAATATAATTTATTAAATGTAATTTACATTTGAATATATATAGGTATAGCAAAACCATTTATATAAATTATCATTTCCTATTTAATTGAATTATAGTATTTTAATAGTTGATAAATTACACATAAATATATAATTTTTAATTACCACAAAAATAAAAATAAATAATAGTAACTAAATTATTTGCTTATTTTATATATATATATATATATATAATTAAGTTTTTCGGGTCATAAATGTTTATGCATTTTAGTCTACAGACAATATAGGTAATGTTTTTAAAATCAAATATTTTGTTAATGCATTTTCAATTATTACTAGGAAGTTATGATAATATCTACTGCTGCAGGTGGATTATGTTAAAAATGTTATAAAATGGTACACGATAAAAAACTACCATTGGGGAATAATTATAACATAAAATTGATTTTTCTAAATATATCATGTTGTTAAGTGTTTAAATTATATATTTGATGCACTAATTATTTATTTATTATTTTTGAAAAAAAAGAATACTGAATACAGTTTTCAATTTTGAAAAAACAATGTAAACAACTTGAAAAATATTTTAGATTTATAAAAACTACGAATATCTTTGAAATGGTTTTTACCTTGATCTTATAATATATTATTATTATCATTTTGCTCAAATAGTTTTATGAATTAGGTAATTTAATTCCATGCCTGAAGTTACTACATACGATTACGAAAATAACCGTGTAGT